TAAATATTTACAGCTTTTACTCAGGACTCTAAGTGCTGGTGCCGCAGGGGGAGGCCGGCGCCGCCAGGTTGAAGGCGAGAAGCGCCACCCCGTTTCTAGCCACGTATTCTGAACACAATCATTGGGCAAAATAACGAATATTCATGCAGAGAGAAGAAAACCCAGACAGTGCAAACGTTTTCTGAGAAGTCCGTAAGTTAAGTTTTTCCTCCAAGCCTCTAAACCTTTTGTGATGGAGCTGCAGGGTTCACGTCCGATCTCAACTGATCGGCTCCCGGTCGAAAACAGTAGATGTGACTTACGGTCCTTCTGGGTATCAGGTACAAAACATTAACGGGCTCCCTTGGCGTGTCCCCTGCTCTGCCGGGACTCTGTGGTCGGAGGAACTGAAATCGGCGTTTAATTTTTCTAACCGAATTGTGTGTTCGTTCACATTCGTAAGGCATTTGTTAATCGTGTATCCGGCTTGTGCAGGCTTTTGGGGTGATTTGTTATCTTCAAAAACAGAAGGGTGATCGTTTTCAAAGACATTTAAATAAGTGGCTTCGGAATTAGCATTTTAAAGCCTACACTTTAGAAGTTTGAGTTTAAAATAATTTAAAATGTGCAAGAAGCGCTCATTTACAGAAAACGGACTCATCTAATTGTGGTGTATGATTTGCCCTCTACTCTTCTAAGTTTGCAAATGCGGCTCCCTGCCTGCAAAACCAAACAAAACCAGTAAAATATTATGAAGACCCCTCATGCCACGCAATCATTCTTTATTGGCTCAAAGACAAATGTAAGAAAATGGTTTATTTTACAATTAAAAGTATTCCTAAATGTGTTCTTAATAAGTGACAGGTCTGAGGTTCTTATCTAAGTGGGGGAGGGGAGAGAAAAAGATTTTTCTGACTACTTGCTAACTGCAGACAGTTCAGGATATTTAATATTTCAGACGCCCCCCCCCCCGGGGGGGATTTATATTCATAATAAAGTTAGTTACGTGTTTGGGGAAAATTCTCGTCTCCCCTATCTCACCCACTAAAGAAAATCCAGAGATATTTAATTAACAAATTCGTGTATATAAAATGCATATCACACTCCAAATGGAACTATTTAGTCGTCTTTTCAGGAACCAGAAAGGAAGTATTGTCAACTCTAAAGTACAGTACTTCTTTCAATCTCTTGGCAAATGCTGTAGAAAGGAATAGTATTTGTCTTAATTGTAGTTTTGCTTTAAAGATCTAAATGTTTTCTTAATTTAGATAAGCACAGTGGTTTTTTTTTTTTCTTTTCCAAATGGCCTGAAACAAAGTCGTTTAGTTTTATTTTGAGGTTTCTCCTGGGATGTTAATAAGGATGACAACTATGACCCCAGGAAATTAAAAAGCAATTTTTGTTTGTTTGTTTCTTTTTTTTTTTTTTGGTGGCTTGCCAGTACAGTAATTGAATCCTGGACCTTGTGTGGTGTTACCAGCATCACACTCTATCCAACTGAACTAACTGGCCAGCCCCAGAAAGCAAGTTTTAATAAGTCATAATGCCCAAATTTAATATTTGTTCTTAAATTTAAAGGTCTTAACTAAAAAGAAAGTTCAAAATGAAAGTTGGGAACCTAGATGGCAATAAATTCTGAAAAATTTGATGTAATGTCCCCTTTAATAATTAATATCTTTAAGAATATAATTCCCTCAATTATCTTCTAGCAAATGGCACTCCCACACATACTTTGCAGTTCTGCAGTTTTTCTTTAGAATCTGATTCTTAACCCAATAGCTCCAAATTGTTATGAATGATAGGCTATGATTGCAGATTATTGTTTCTTTTTTTGATTTGAGGTTCTACTTAGTAGAGATGTATAAAATATATACGTATTTTTTTTTCTTTTTTGCAGCTGGCCAGTATGGTTAGTAGGGATATTTTGTTCTTGAACTATACATTAACTTTTGTGGAACGTGGTTTCGTTTAAAAATGACAGAGCCACCTAGTGACTCTTTGCCTCTGTTACAGCATACATCCCTGTAAGGATCTGTGGGGTGGACACCCCCTCTAGGGGTTTGGAAGTTACATTTCCCTATTTGTTCACATTTTAATTAGATAAACTTAAAACTTATTGGCCATGGCCTGGGTTATTTAATGTTAAAAGACAAGATAAAAACTGCTTAAAATGCAAGTTCTCTAATGTTTTGTTAAATTGCCTTTTCACAAGATGATATAATCAAGGCAATTGATTAATGCATCTATGCCAGTATAAAATAAGGATAGACTGTTACATGTTTTCATCACTGGAAAAGAAAACATTTTGGGAAATTATTCAACCCAAAGATATCATTTGTTTTGCAGTGCCATTTGTTAACATCCCTGTTGCTTCTTTGAAATAACTGAGCGACATCAGTGAATTATAATGAAATGTAGTCATTTTTAACAAACACTGTCATAGAATGTAGAATGTAAAATTTATTACTCATTAATTTCCAGCATCATAGAAACATTGTCACATTTTTACGTATTTCCAGAGGAAGAAAAAAGTAATATGGGGGTACATTAAAAAGTTTTTGGAAGAATAGAATTCAAAGATAGCATGAATGTTTCCATGAACTTTTTTTTTTTTTTTTTTTTAAAAAAGATGA